CCAGTTTCCGGGCTCGAAAGTGCCCTTGACAGTCAGGGCTTCGGTCAGGTCCAAAGCAGCTGTGAAACGTGCCAGCAAATGAAAGCACACCAGCTTATTCTCCCCACCTTTGCCAAAGGAGTCCAGGGAAAACTTGAAAATCAAAGGCAGGGAGTTTGATCTCACAGCAAAGTGCAGTGAAGGATCGCAGAACCCAGACTGACAGAGTTTCTTTAGGATGGTGCTGACAGGAGACAGCAACCCCTTACTGATGGGGCCCTTTTTGGCACTGGTCACCTCCTTTTCTGGAAGAAGCTCTTCCCTGTAGGAGGGCAGATGGTCGAGCGCAAAGAGGGCCGACTGCAGCACTGCGTCCACCTGGCTGCGGATCTCTCTGCTCAGGTGGTGCTGGATTTGGGCGTCGTCGTCCCCACGCCATACCCGCACGGCCAGCAGGTGGCGCAGCAGCAGGAAAGGCTGGAGCAGGTGAGCCGTGACCTGGGTGAAAACTCGGTTGGGGTTGGTCTGATGCCGCTGGACAATCAGGTAGCTGCACAAGGTCTGCTGAAAGACCTCGAACACCTGGCGGACTAGGGGCTGGCCGACGTTCCCCGGGCTGAGCTCGGAGCAGGCCAGCGCGCACAGCCTGGACACCAGCTCCACCAGGAGCTCGTACTTTGCAGAGTAGGTGGCTGAGAGCACAGGAGAGGACAGAACGCCCTGGCAGCAGCTCAGCACGGTGGAGGTGCCTACAAGGCATGTTCCAGAAGCACATTCCAGGACCCGCTCATTAATAACCTGGTGACAAGACAGACAGGAAGGGGAACATTCCGACATACATTCAAAACAACCAAACATAACACACAAAAAAACAACAACAACCGTTTCCTTAAGTAGATAAACAAGAAAATAATATGATCAGACACCTGAGCCACTGCTAAACGCAGGCTGAGGCTCCTCCCCTTGCTCAAGGCATTCAGCAGATTCTTGCTGTGAAGAATGTCGTCCAGATAAGCCCACAAGCCTGCCACCACTTCCTGTGGAAGCTCCACTTTCTTACTGTAATAACCGGTCAAGGCGTGACTCGCCCAGTCAAACAGCAGCTGCAGAGGCAATGGGAGGGACACACAGAAAGGGTCAGTGAAACTTACAGTGAAATGCAGTGACACTTCGTCAAATTTGGGGAGCCCCGGCGCTGGCTTTAACGAACATCTCAGCGATGCCTTAACGAGGCCTTGCCTGCTCTTTGTTGGGCAGGACGCACTGCGGGGAGATCCACGCAAAGCGCGCCAGCTTCAGCTTGTCCGGCCAGGACGTCCGGTGGCTCTTCAGCTTCAGATGGATGCCGGAGTAGATGGCAGCCATGTTCTACGTACTGCCAGCTAAGAAAAAAGGCATTCGAGATGCGAAGATGGCCACTTCTGCAGTTGGAAATCATTACTGGAAGTCAGTCATTCCAACATAATGCTAGTTCTGCTAGGTTTCCGGACTTCTACATAAACAGATTAAATGACATCTTGTTTTTCTCTGCCACAAGAGGAGACATTTCATAGTGTATTGTACTGTACATACATACATACGAGGATCTTACTCAGTTTTTCTTTAAATCCCAAGGCACAAAATAAGAAACCTTACTTAAATCCAATTTTTCAAACAATAGACTGCCACATTCCAGATGTAAGCAGCCCCAGAGTTCTGCATGTGCCTTTATTAAGGTGTTAATAATCAGTAAAAATCAGAAATGAAGGTGTAGTTTTTGTGTTAGAAAACAACTGTCACCACAACGGTGATGAAAGTGCCTGAAAACTGACGGTGTCTCTGCTACATTTAAACAGGCAACAGTGGCATAAGATACAGTTACATATATTGTGGTACTACAATGCAAAAATAGTAGTAACATTACAAGTTATCCAATTACTGTGATTACACTGTAAACAGAGGTGGTAGGAACACATACGGACATTTTGTTTTTCAGGAGATTCGCAGTCCAGAAAATTTAATTCCACTCATAAAATAATTGTAATATCAAAGAAGCAAGAATTGGGAATCACTGACATCTGTCATTAGGACAGGATCCCCGTGAACTAAATTATGAGAATGGTACGTATTCGACGTGTAAAAACGCAAACCGAGCACTTATGAGGAGATAATGGTGCTAGTTTAATTTATTTTTTCACACCGAAGAGTTGCTATGCCATAGCTGCTAACGACTAGGCTAACAATACTCCGCAAACCACTTCAATCGTATAACTCTATTCACACGCAACTGTCTACACGCAAACACAACTGTAATGTACTTAAATGCTATTATCTGAACACAAGTTTTTTTTTCTTTTTTAGAGAAACACTCCCCAACTTACGATTGCCGGTCAAACACGTGAGTGTCGGACGAATTGAATATGAACTCTCACCCCTGACCTTCAGCCTCCAGGCGGAACTAGTCGATCGAGCGTCATGATTGGTTAGGAGGTGTTGTTAATACTATCATTATTTTAAAGATTGGAACGATAACTACTTGAGGAACAACACTAACATTGGGCTGGTTTTGGAATAACTATAAAGTTTACGCTGTTTAAATCCTATCAGTTTTCAGGACATCCGCTTTCGCCTAAGAAATAGAGATGTAAATATTATTTCTGTATAATGAATAAAGTGCATTATTCAATATTTAATACTTCAATTATAGTTATGTCTGTTCCTATGAGCATACATTTATTTAATTTAAATATATAACATTTCTATACAGGGGCGGATTGGCCATCTGGCAATTCTGGCAAATGCCAGAAGGGCCGGACCATTTTTTAAATGTGGGCCGGTCAGTTTTTTTTTTTTTTTTTTAATTTTTTTTAATTTTTTTTA